TGATGGTGATGATGATGCTGATTCTGATGAAGGTGATGCTGCTGCTGCTGATGATGCTGATGATGATGATGATGATGATGATGATGATGATGATGATGATGATGATGATGATGATGATGATGATGATGGAACAGTGCTTGAGGATGTCTCGGGCGAGGCGCTGGTTTCAGAACACCCGAGGGGGGGCCGCCAGGGGTATCTTACTCCTGCGTTCGCGCCCAGATTGCGGGGATGCCTCGAGCGGTCTGCTTTTTTCGCAACATCCTCAGCCTTCGTGGCTGTCTCGCAGCAGCCTCAATCTTCGGGGCAGATGTTGAGGATGTCCCGGACGGGCGAAGCGCTGGTATTTGCACCACAGGGGGAAGGGGGGGGCAGATTGCTAGGATGTCTCGGGCGGTTTGCTTGTTTTGGTGGCCAGATTCGTCCGCGTGCAAAGCAGATCCTGAGGGTGTCTCGGGCGAGGCGCTGGCTTCAACACCCCTAGGGGTCCAGATTGCGAGGATGTCTCAGACTCACTCATGCTCAACTATCACTCGTTCTCAGACTCAATCATGCTCAAACTCGTCATCATCATACTCATACTCAGGCTCACTCACACTCGGATTTACGCACACTCAGGCTCACTCACACTTAGACCCACCCACCCTCAGACTCACTCGTAGTCAGACCCATTCGTACTCAGACCCACTCAGACTCAGACTCGTACTCATATACTCATACCCAGACTCACTCACATTCAGATTTAGTCGCACTCAGAATCATTCACACTCAGACCCTACCCTCATACTCACTCGTAGTGAGACCCACTCGTACTCAGACCCACTCAGACTCAGACTCAGGCTCATGTTCATCATACGCATACTCAGACTCACTCAAAGTCAAACTTACCCACACTCATCATCACTCACACTCAGACCCACCCACCCTCATACTCATTCGTAGTCAGACCCACTCGTACCCAGACCCATTCAGACTCAGACTCGTACTCTTTATACTCATGCTCAGACCCACTCACACTCAGACTTACCCACACTCAGACTCACTCTCACTCATTCTCAGACTCACGAGTTCTCAGACCCACTCGTACTCCGACTCTCTCACACCTAGACTAACTGACACTCGCACTCAACCATACGAAAACCCGTTTATACCTCAAGCCCGTCTATGTTCGAAAGCCCTTGGCCCTAGACACTCACGGCGAACAGGTCCATGCAAGGAGATGCACACATGGGGAGCTCCACGCGGTGCATCGTTCCACAGAGCGATAAAAGGGGGGCCTGGGAGCACGAAGAACATCAGAGCACCCTCCCCGAAGCGACCTCGCTCTTAGACCTGGCTCCGACTGTGCGGCGGATCCGACGTCAGGGCGGAGGCGGGGGGGGGGGGTCGCCCTCGGGCCCCGGGGGCCGCCCAGGTTGCACCGCGGGCGAGGCGCTGTCCCGCGCGGGGCCGCGGACCGAGAAAAGGCTCGGGTCGGCGGGCGGGCGATCCCCGCCGCCGCCGCCGGAGACTCGCCCCGCAAGTAGGCTTGCCGCAACGCTCCCCTGGAGAGGTCGGGGGAGTGGTGGTTTCGGTGCCTGTGGGCTTCCCCGGGGACCACCCTGACTCCGGATCCGCCCTGCTCTGGGGAAGTTCGTGGGTAGGGCTTTGAGAACTTCCGCCTTGCTGTTCAAGCCCCGCGGATGCCGATTTCCGCCCTACTTTTTTCTGCTGCTGTTTCCGCCCTGCTTCTGCGGATTGCCGCCCCGCGGTATGCTGGGTGCAGAAATGTCCGCCCTTTCTTCTTCGGCCTCTTGCAGGTGGATCTCCGACGCAACTCTAAGCTGGAAAAGAAGACAAAGTTAGGGCGGATCTGGAGTCGGGGCACCCGGGGCCGCGGACCGAGAAGGACCCGATCGGCGGTCGCCTGGGCCCGGGGGGTGCAGCAGCACACCCAGTCGAGGTCGGGGTCGGGGGGCCGCCGTCGTGCCGCGGGGGGGCCATCCAGGCTGGGCCGCGTGCGGGGAGCTATAGTTGAAGGGGAACTGGGACACACAAATGAATACACACAAATAAAAATATCCCCCATATTGTCCCATGTTTTCTGGGTTTTTGTCTTCCCCCCCACTTCCCATATTTTCCCATATTTTCTGGGAATCGCCGATTAATTGTGTCTGTGTGTTTTTTCCCCTCCTGAATAGTGCCAAGGGCGGCGGTCGGGGCCGCCCAGGGCCGCGGACTGAGGAGAGCAGGTCGGCGGACGTCTGCAACGAGCAGGGAAGCCCCCCCCTCACAACAGACTGCTTGACTCGCGGGTCGAGAGCGCACCTCTTCCAGTCGAAACTAAGCGGGCCGCGCGAAGCTTGAATTAACGAAGGATTGCAAAAACAAAACCTAGGATTGCAACAAAAATAACCGATTGCAAACAAAAACCCTGGATTGCAAACAAAAACGAAGGATCGCAAAAAACCTACGAAGTTTTGTTTTTGCAATCCTACGAAGGTTTTTTTTGCAATCCTTTTTTTTGCAATCCTTTTTTTTGAAAACCCTCATAACAAACACCCCGACAGGCGGAGCCGTTTGTAGTGAACGCACCCAATCCAGGGAAGGAGTCGAGCAGGGCAGGGCTGTTCCGTGAACGCCCAGGGCCGCTTCTAGTCCTCCTCCACCTCCTCCTCCTCCTCCCTCCTCCTGCTCCTCCTCCTCCTCCTCCTCTTCCTCCTCCTCCTCCTCCTCTTCCTCCTCCTCCCCTCTCGGGGTCGGGGTGGCTTACCCTCCCTTGAGTCTGGGCTGGGGGATGCAGCAGCTCACTAGTCGAGGGCAACTTTGATGCCGAACGCCAACAGGAAGCCGAACGTGCACAAGAACCCGCCGGAGCCCATAATGCCCCCTTTCTTGTCCCGCCGCTCGTACGCCTCTGAAGGGCCACGATTGGGGGGGGCTGGCGTAGGTAGGGACGCATCGATCTGGAATCGGCGATACATCGCCGACTGATCGGCGATAGGCCCTCGATAACACATCCCCACGTTCGTGGGCGGCATGGGCCTATCGCGGATCAGTGCGCGATTTGGGGTTGATGCATCCCCCCCCCTGCCTATCCCCCCCTTATCGCTGCCCCTGGGCCTCTGGCAGCATGGTCGCCGCGATGCCTGAGATCATTGCTCCGCCCGCCACGCCCTCCGTCAGGCAGACCAAGACCTGGGGCGCTCCAGGAAGGGCATCTCGGTGGCGAGAGAGGGGGGAAGTGGGAAGGAGAGGGCCTTAAAGCGACGGGACCATTCGGAAGCCCACGAGCTTTCTGAGAAGTCTTCGAAGCCTTCCCTGAAGACACAGGGAGCTTCTCAGAACTCTGGCGGGTTTCTGAGAACCCCGCCGCCTTCTGCAGAGAGCCCACAAAGCACGTACGCGCCCAACCACGCACATGAACGCGGCCTCCCAGTCCGCGAGACCAACCTCGTGATGCGAACGCTTGCTCGCGATATGCGCATGCTCAAAAACAACGTGGATTCATGCACGTGTACGTCCTTCTTTCGCTTCTGATCTACGACGCGTGTGGAACCGAGGAGGAGGAGGAGGAGGAGGAGGAGGAGGAGGAGGAGGAGGAGGAGGAGGAGGAGGCGGGGGAGGGGGAGGAGCAGGAGGAGCAGGGAGGAGAAGGAGGAAGGAGGGACGAGGAGGAGGGAGGAGGGAGGGAGGGAGGGAGGGAGGGAGGGAGGGAGGGAGGGAGGGAGGGAGGAGGAGGAGGAGGAGGAGGAGGAGGAGGAGGAGTGAGATACCCCCTGGCGGTTCCCCTTTGGAGATGTTGAAACCCGCGCCTCGCTCGGGACATCCTCAGAATTTGCTCCGCCATCCACATCATCATCATCATCATCATCATCACCACCATCATCATCATCATCATCATCATGATATGTTGTTTGTTAGGCGGAGAACGACTTCTCAACAAGCCCGCTTGCAGCGATAGCGGGCTGCTCCTCCACAGTTCAAGGCAGAGGGAAGCTCCCTCACGAGACAGGCACTGAAGTGAAAGCTGACACCCGAGACTCCCAGGGCCAGGGCGGGCGGGGACCCTCGAACGGCTGCAGAGGGACGCACGCAGCAGAGAGAAGCAAAAACTGAACTGCTAAGCTGCTTGCTACAACTGCCGACACGACGACACTCCACTCCCCGCGAAATCATGTCCGTGCACGCACCCCCATGAGATGCTGTTTGTTAGGCGGAGAACGACTTCTCAACAAGCCCGCTTGCAGCGATAGCGGGCTGCTCCTCCACAGTTCAAGGCAGAGGGAAGCTCCCTCACGAGACAGGCGCTGAAGTGAGAGCTGACACCCGAGACTCCCGAACCCCTACACAGGGTTACAGTTGTAAATGGAGGCTCTCGAGAGGTTTAGCAGAGACCGAGCGAGCGCAAAGTTTAAAAAGGGCAGGTCGTTTCACACTGGCTTGACTACGACTCTGGCCTAATTGATCACGCCCCCTAAGTTGAACGTGAGGCTGCTGAGTCCTGTCACAGATTCCATTACGGCTTTCACAAGTGTGCGCCAGACCTGCGACGTCTTCTGGCACCTCCCCTAGGTACATGTAGGTGCAACGATGCTTCCAGGGCGTGCCAAACATACACCTGTCATTGCTGAGTCTGACAACGAAAGAGGCAGGTACGTTCACGAGAGAGCGGACGAAGGGCGCCCACAGTCGACTACCTTCAGGCATCTCGACTAACACTGGAATGTTATGACACCAACAATCTGAACAAATGCGTCCTACACGCTCTGCATATCTTCGAATTTTGTAACGACAGAAGCGATTCCCACTGGCCTGGCTTGCTCCCTGGATGTGTGGAGAAAGGAAGACTGACGCTGCCTCCCGTCGCCGAACATGCGCTCGAATCCGACGTTCTAAGCCGGCACCCAGACCGCAATCGCTCAGCACGTTCGCCTGCCACAACCAGCCAGGCACCCCGTGGGAAGCGAGCTGCTGCCCGACGCTCGTCAGCTCGCCCCCAATGAGGATCACCTTCGAGCACTGGGCAAGGGCTGGATGCCGCCTGGCAGCGGCGCCGCACGGCCCCACAGCAAGGCGGGCTCCAGCTCGCGCAGGCACTGCTCCCCGTACGCCACCATCACCGCCGTGTGCTGCTGCGCGCGATGTCCGAGCCGCGCGCTCTTCTCGTACCTCGCCATGTTTTTGAGCTGCCGCCAGCCCCCGCGCCTCTGCACCTCGGCCTGGCTCCGCTCGTTGCTGGCGCGATCTATGCTCGCACCAGAGTGCCTGGCCTGGTAGGGCGTGATCCGCCCCAGCTGCAGGGTGTCGCAAGTTGACCGCATCTCCCGCAGCAGCTGCGGGTAGTCGAACTGCCACACTGGCTTCGTCGGGTCCTGCCGTTGCAGCTTCTCCAGCACTGGCCCAAGCCACAGCAGCCATGACGAGTCCAGCTTCACACTCAGGTCGAACTCTCCCACATTGTCGGGGGTGGCCCTCTCCTGCGGGTGCATCAGCAGTCCCCAGAAACGGCTGCCACCCCCAGGCTTGACAATATCCCCAGGGCGGAGTCGGAAGAGCGAAGACGGGCGCAAGTAGGTCGACACTGCCAGCGCCAGGAACACTGCCATCATGCGCTGGTTCCGCAGAACCAGGCCATGCATGAGGGCACACCATATACTGAGCGGCTCGGGCATCCTGGCACGGCCAGGGGTGAGCATCTTCCAGCCCTTGAGCGCCTTCCACATACGGGGTAGCGCACTGGCCCCCAACCTCCCATACTTCGGGGAGAAATGGTTCACAGCCGCCGCCACATACATGCCCGTGGACGCCTGCTCCCCTTCTAGGTACAAGGTCGTGAAATAGTGCACTATACATACATCCAGCGTCTCTGACGGCATCTCGAACAAGTCCTGGCGGCCACATCGGTCTTTCATCTGCTCTAACGCTCTGTGGTACTGTGCTCGTACCTTCGGCGTTGCCGTGCTCGACTCCAGGTAGCGTCCGATCGGCACTCCGTCCTCGATCGCCCGTGACACTGCCGCACGTCGCCGCTTGACCCGCCTCTCCAGTGTCCTCTGGCGCTTGGCAGTGGTGGCGGCCTCGGATTCGCTGGTAGTGCCGCTCGAGCTCGGCACGGCTGATCGTCCCCGTTTTCCAGTGGCGCGTCTTCGGGTGTCGCAGCTCGCGTCCGCGCCCGCTTCCTCCGGGCTCGGCGTAGCCTGGCCCTTCGCAGCCTCGGCGGGCCGCTTGCCGCCGATCTGGTTCTGGAGCGCCGCTGAGGCAGGCGGCCTCGCCGCCTCGCGGGTCAGGACTCTCGCCCGCCGCTCCTGCGGCTGCTCGATGGGCGGCTGCGACCTCAGGAGCAGGCGACTCCTGGAGGCGGGGCCCGAGAGCATCACAACGATCTCGAGCCAAAACGCCTGCGGTAGAACAGCCGGCTGCTGTGCGCGAAGGATTTACCGACGCAAAAAGGTGCTTCAGATTTGGCGGGCTCATACCTTCTATCGCAGCATGGTCTCTATTCAGATTCACTTCGGAGGTTCGTTCATCTCGCCAACAGCTGTCGGGGTTTGAAGTGCGTGCACAGACACGGGGGGGTGTCAAACTGAAACTCACATCAGCGCCTCCTCCATCCTCGGACTCGGGAACAGGAGGAAGAGAAAAAGGCAGGCAAGGAAACAGGGATCAACCGCGTGAGAATCTGGGAGGGTTGTCCTCCCTCTGCTCGGGATCCCTCATCACTATTGTTGAGTTCACTAGGGGTCCAACGAACAATCGCCCTAAGGTTCTGCCCCAAGAGGTAAGCCGATAATCTACGAATCTGTCGCAAAATGGCAAAACTCTTGCACCTACTTCTGTCAAACGCCAGGGCCACCCCCAAGATTATCTACAAGGAGTACCTGCCTAGCGTCAAAGCCAAACCAAGTGAGAGCAATGCGTTTTAAACTCTGCACGAGTGCTCTAGCTTCAAGGATTCCTATATGCTCACTGTATCTCCAGACCCCTTTCCCAAAATCTCGCCACAACGGGTGCGCCAAGAGACGACTGGGCACCTCTGAGAAGTCGGGGTCCAACTCGTAATCCCCTTCGGGCAGCGTGGTCTCGATCAGCCACTTCTCACCCTCGTCCACGCACAGCTTCGCCTCCCCCACTTTCGCCTCCAAGAACTCCCCAATACCCGCCGCTGTAAGAGCTGATCGACGTGCCTCTTGACCCTCTTCCGTCCTGAACCGCCTCCTCTCACGACACCGCCCGACGACGTTTAAAGACTCGAGGTCCCAGTAGCTCCCAGATACCCCGTAGCCAGTCTCAGAGGCATCCGAACACTGAACCCACCTATTGCATGGGAGCCACCAGTCAGAAACGATCATGGGCAGCAGGCCTTTGAAAGCCTCGAGCTCCTCTCGACAACTCCTCCAGAGAGGCGCGCACTCTTTCTGCACTTTCGAAACGAAGCGGTAGCATGCATGGAATACTGATAGCACAGGCCGCCGAACGAGCCCAAGATAGGTGCAATGGCCCAGCAGCGCGCGGAGGTCGTGCCCGCGCACCGCCCGCATCCGCAGCACTCCCACGAGCGCCTGCCGCGCCCTCCAGACCCGCTTCAGCGACGGGCGCGTCTGCAGCCTCTGGCCGTCCAGCACCACCCCGAGCACTTCGATCCCGTCGCTGCGGACCTCTCGCCCGTGGACCTTGAGGCCGACCGCCACGAAAGCTCGCACCAACTCGTCGAGGCTGTTGCTGACGCGCTCCCCGTTCTGGCCCAGGACGCCCATGTTGTCCACGTACACGCAGTGCTCCACCTGCTCGGTCCCGCAGACGATCTTCAAGACCAGGGGCTCCCCCAGGTCGCTCAAGGGCGCACTCCCTGCGATGGCGGGAGCAAGCTGGCAACGAAGCTCCGTCACACTCTGGCACAGGTAGAGGCTCCACGTGCATCCCATCGGCAGCGCCTCGGGGATCGGGTAGACCAGGTCGTCGAAGCCCAGCGCCTCGCCGTCCAGCCGGCTCCCGTGGATCCCGACGTCGCCGGCTCGGAGACTGGGAAGGCCGAACAGCAGCTTCATCCAGGCTGGCAGCCGCGTGCGATGGAACGCGTCCTTCACGTCCGCCACACCCACTGAGAACTCCACGTCCTCTATGGCAGCAAGGTAGGCGGCCTCCAGGTGATCTCGCGCTCCGCCCACCGCCTCGAGCTCGAATGCTGACAACCCCTTCCGCGGCCAAGAGTTGGGCCGAAGGTGGGCCGATCAGCCAGGCATTGCTTCTTCGGCAATCAAGTATCATACGTGATCTCTCTTCCCCTTTCTTCCACACAAAGAATGTACCCGCCATCTCCACGACCGTGCGGCTGAAGGACACCAGGCCGCGCTTCACTAGGTCCCTCACAAAATCGCTACACCTCCGTCGGCTCCGTACCAAAGAGGGCTCGCTGAAGGGGGCCCGCGGGCACCGCGCCAGCATCTCCGTCGCGCCATCAAGGTCGCGCAGCATGCGCTCGCCCTGCCCCGCCACAAACTGGCGCGCTCGCCCCCGTAGAAGTTCATGAAGCTGAGGTGCCTCACTGATGCCGTCGGGAAGCGAGGGAAGCCCAGGTCGGTAGGGGGCAAGCAGATCCTCGGGAGGACCACCCAGGTATGGCGATCTCCCACGCATCAACTCCCGTAGGGCTGAATACGGTGGCTGCAGCTGCTCGCCCCGCATCGGCTGCGCGATGTCATACACCTGCCCATCGATGCGCTTGATGACGTCCAGCTGCGTGTCCGACAGGAGAGGCGCGGAGGAACCCACACTCGCACCTGCCAGCCAGTTGAGGCTCGAGATGGCCTCGTTCAAAACTTTCACATGTAGAAGCCGTCGGCGTTCACGCCCTCCTCGACGTCCTGCCCCCAGGACGCCCTCGACCTCCTCCTGCAGCGGCAGCGGGAAGATGTCGCGGGCGCCCGCCTGGGAAAGTAGCCCAGGCAGCCCTGCATAGTCGACGCCGCTGGTCGGGCTATCCCCAGCGGCGGCCGCATCATCAGTCATTTTCCTCCCCCCGCCGCGGCCGCGTCGGGGGAGTTCTTCGGTCCCTTCGGGCCCTTAGGCCCAGGCTTATCTCCGTCACCTTTACCTCCTTTATCGTGTAGAGCACGGTCGGCCCCTGTGAGGCCCCTGACGCGAGCGCTCAAGAACTCCGCGTCCTCCTTCGCCTTCTTAGCTCCGAAGCTACGCAGCTCAGGGGCCACCGCGTCACTCGGCCCCGTCTCGCCCGTCAGGCACCGAGCCATGCGCCAGTTCGCGGGCGCCCCAGGCACTGAGTGGGCATCCGTGATCACCTGGATGCGCCTGGCCAGCCGCCCCATCGATCGGAGCCCTCCCAGGTTCAGGTGGTCGTAGCTCCCTGCCAACAGCAACGCGTGGCACAGGACCTCGAGCTCATGGTAGATGCGGTCCTGGCGCTCCACTCGATGTTCTCGTGACCACTCGGCCAGCCATCGCATGGGGTCTCCGCCGCTGCGGCGCATCGCCTTAGCCAGGTAGACCACCGACACGGGACCCTCGATCGGGTCATCGGCGTACGACTCGGCACTGATCTCGCGACGACGCTCCTCCACTCCTTGTGCCTCTCGCCGTGGCCGTCGTAGTCCACCGCCAACGTTCTCGCGTCCTCGACGGTGTGTCCTCCGCGAGCCTCGCCCGAACCCGCAGTGGCCTCCGCCACTCGATCTCCGAGCCCGGGGTGCTTCTGGACGCTATCCTCGTCTGCCAGCTCCCCTGGTGGGGTATCAGTCCCCAGGGCGCGACGCATACGGGTGAGCTGCTCTCCTGCAAACCGAGGCGCGTCCGAGACCTTCACGCGGGCCACCCGACACACCTCCGTTCCGAACACCTTCAAACCGTGGCTTCCCAACATGACGTCGCTCCCTGACATCTTCACCTCCTCCCCGAGCGCCTTGCCACCGCCTGGTTCCATCAGCATCCAGATCATCTCGTCATCGGCGCCGATGTCTCCAAGCGCTGGGAGCTCTCGAGCTGACACGCCCATCACCGTGCCCAGGCCCTGCATCTCCCCCGTCTCCGTCATCGCGGACTGCGGCCAATCGCTCGGCTCCTGGCCCAGGGCGGACTCGATGTCACGGCACCCTTTCGCAAGCTGCGCCAGGCGGTCCAGCGTTGGTCGCGCTCTGAAGCGGTACAGCCGTCGCCCAACGATGTGGGGATAGCCAGACGACGGCATCGGGACAGCCCCACTCGGGCCATGCTCAGGGTCACCGCCGTCCAGCCGCTCCCGCCACAAGTCATCGTCGGGCGACAGCACCCACCAGACGCTCTCCTGCTGGCAAATGCCGTCCTCGACTCGCCTGGACGGCCACGCCAAGTAGCGCTCGTGGTCCACGTCGTCGTCTGAATACGACACCCTCACGCGACTGCCTAAGGCCCCTCTATTCCAGAAGCCCTGCTCCGCCGCGACGGGGCCGCAACGGCTCGCCCAGGGCTGCCGCCATCCTGTCGAGGCGGGCGGCGCTCGCAAGCTCCTCTCCGCGCCTGGTACAGCTGCCACAGCGCGCCTCCCGCTACCTGGCCGCCCCACCACCAGAAGGGGCCGAGGCTCAGGCGGCTCTCGAGCGGCTCCTCCTTGGGCCGCGGGCACACCAGCGGCTCCACGAGCGGGCAGCTCGGCTCCACGCCGAAGGGCCCAGCGGGCGCGGCAGGCGCCTCGGGCGGAGGCGGCGGAGGTGGCGCTGAGACGAGCCAGGCCTCGCGCTCGCCCCACCGATCGCGGCCCCGATACTCCTGGGCCAAGCGGGCGGTCTCCAACCACAGGACAATCCAGAGGGGAAGGTTCTGTGGGGGATGGAACATCCCCTCCTGACCCTCGAACGGCTGCAGAGGGACGCACGCAGCAGAGAGAAGCAACAACTGAACTGCTGAGCTGCTTGCTACAACTGCCGACACGACGACTCTCCACTCCCCGCTAAATCATGTCCGTGCACGCACCCCCATCATCATCACCATCATCATCATCAGCATCATCATCATCACCATCATCATCACCACCACCACCATCATCATCATCACCATCACCATCACCATCACCATCACCATCACCACCATCATCATCATCATCATCAACCTCAGCATCATCATCACCACCACCATCATCATCACCGCAGCATAATTTACCATATCATACCATCGCATGCCATATCATCTTATATCATAGCATATCAAACCATACCATCATTAATCCTACCATGTCATACCGTACCATGGCATAGCATACCTACCAAATCATATCATAGCACATCATGCCATAAGATAACATACCATGGCATAAGTGAGCCTACCATACTATATTACAACACAACTAACATAACACATCGTCGCCTACCATGAGGAGGAGGGGAGGATGAGGAGGGGGAGGAGGAAGAGGAGGAGGAGGAGGAGGAGGAGGAGGAGGCGGAGGAAGAAGACTTGCGTATCGGACTTGCGGGTGGAACTCCGGCCCGAAAGCTAGCTTAACACCCTGGCGTGGCCAAGCGACCGCCCCACTGGGCCTACGGCTGCCACGCCAGGGGTGCCAGACGTCACCGCACAGCGGTCCGTCCTCCCTCCCAGGGGTGAGTGGTGGAGGGGAGGGAGAGGGGGGGGATGGGAGGCCCCCGGGGGGGGTCCTCGGAGGCCCAGCGGGTCGGCTTGCCGGGCCCGTCGGCCAGCAACCGGCGAGCAGGCCGCGTTGCGGGTCGGGCCGCGGCGGGAGGGAGAGGAGGAGGCGGAGGAGGGGGAGGAAGAAGAGGAGGAGGAGGAGGAGGAGGAGGAGGAGGAGGAGGAGGCCCCCGTCGACCCCCAAACCTCGGCCGGCCAGGAGGCCGCGCTGCGGGTCCGAACGGGGCGGCGGCGGGAGGGAGAGGGGGGCGAAGCAAGGGGGCCCCCGCCACCGCCAACCCTGGAGACTGTGTTGGCCAGCGGGCCGCGCTACGAGTCTGAGCGGCAGGGGGGCAGGGAGGGCAGGAGGGAGAGCAAGGGGGGGGGCCCCGCCCCCACCGACCCCCCAAGACCTCGGTTGGCAGGAAGCCGCGCGGCGGCCTGGGAGGGACGGCGGCGGAACGGAGATGAGGGAAGCAGGATTAAGTCGGGCCTGTCCTCCTACACGGGGATTTTGGATGAAAAATTCAAAAAAAAAAATGCCCCCAAATGGCCAAAACATATTCAACACATAGTCCCCAGAACATTTTTTGACTATCTCTGAAAATTCCCCTCTGTTCAGGGACAGGCCCGACTTCAGAGTAGGGGGGGAGGGCCCCCCCCCCCCCGCGCCGACCCGCCAAGAAGTCGGCCGGGTGGGAGGCCGCGCGGCGGGACCGAACGGGACGGCAGTGGGGGGTGGAGGAAGGGAGAGAGGAAGGGCAGGCCCCCGGCCCCCGCCGACCCCCCAGGGTCTCGGCCGGCCAGGAGGCCGCGCTGCTGTCTGGGCGGGGCGGCGGCGGGAGGGAGAGGAGGAGGAGGGCGAGGAGGGGAAGGCCCCTACCCGCGCCGACCCTCCAAGACCGCGACCGGCTGGGAGGCCGCGCTTCGGGTCTGACGGGGGCGTCGGCGGGGGGGGGAGGAGGGGGGAAGGGGGGGGGCACCCCCGTCGGGTCAGAGCGGGACGGCGACGGGAGGGAGTGGGGGAGGGAAAGGAGGGGGAGGCCCCCACCCGCGGCGGCGGGAGGGATAGGAGGAGCGAGAGGGTGAGCGGTGCGAGGGGGGAAAAGGGAAGAGAAGCGGTGATCGGGCGCCGGCGGCGGTGGCGCGCGGGCTGGCAGCTTTTGGGCCAACTCGTTTGTGGGGTTGCGGGATGGGGTACCTCGGCAGCAGCAGGGAGGAGAAGGGGGCCACCACCCCCGCCGACCCCCACGGACCCCGGCCGACTTGGGGGTCGTGCTGCGGGTCTGGGCGGGGCGGCGGGGGGAGGACGGCGGCGGGAGGCAGGCAGAGGAGTCGGGGGGCCACACCCCCGCCCCCCCGGACCCCCGCCGGCGCGTGGCCGCACGGTGGGCCCGAGCGGGGGGGGGAACGGGAGGAGCAGGAGGAGCAGGAGGAGCAGAAGGAGGAGGAGGAGGAGGAGGAGGAGGAGGAGGAGGAGGAGGGGGAGGAGGAGGAGGAGGATTCGATTCGATTCGCGCACCGTTAGCGCCAATATCTTCTTCTTCCTTGAGAGTGCTCTATTCTGCGATGCTGATTGATCAAAAGCGCGCAGCCAATAGCACGCAACATGCGTAGCTCCTGGATGGCTCTGGCGCAGTGAACCTTGGACCGTAGGAGGAAAGTGCACAGGCCATGTCCTCTGCACGGGGGCCGCAGCTAGAGCCTCGAGGTGGAGCCAGCCTGGCCCCTGCAGCCACCGACGCACGAAGTAGCCACAGGGATCTTGAAACTAGGTCTTATTAGCCTTCCCTTAGACCATTTGAAGGGCATGTTGACTCGTAAACATTTTTTCAAACTAGGTGGACCCTGGGAAAATCCCACGCGAGACTAAATATTCCGTGAATATGCGTGCGTCAGTCGGGAAGGAAGAGGTCGGAGGTCTCGGAGCGGGGGGAAGCTGGTTCGCACGCGGTGGGGATTCGGCAGGGTGCAGGACGACGGGAGGGGAGGTCAGAGGTCTCGAAGAGGGCGAGGTCTCACTGGGCATGCTGACGGGGGCCTCAGAGTGGCTCACGATATGTCTCAGAAATTCCTCGCGTCCCTCGTTCGCGAAAGGCTTCGCACCCAGGCACTCGATCTCCGAATCCGACAGGGCCCCGTTCAGCTCAGAAGCGTTCCCAGGAAGGTTTGCAACTCGCGTTCCATGAACGCGGCTGGGGCCCCGCCGAACTTCCTCTTGACCCCCTCTATCTGCATCATGGCCTCCACTGTAGTTTTCCAAGCGATGGGGCCCTGAAGGCCATCGTGGCCCTGCGTGAGTCCTTCTGGTATATTTTGTCCTGGCGGCAGAACAGCACGAGCTCGCACTTCTGTGGCACTGGGTAGTCTCCGCACTCCCCGAACGCCGTGCGGAGCTCCTTGGCCAGTCCTGGCTCCGACTGCGTCTCCTAATGCGACCAGAGCTCTCATCAGACCTCCCATGGCCCAGATGTACGGGGGGCCCAGAGTGTGGTCTTTTTCCCGCAGCCTTTGCCTGGACGGCGCAGGCGGAGGTCTGCTGGCTCATGTTGGTGACGAGAGCGTGGTCCGTGGGAGCGATGAACGTGTCGAGATACACCCCTGCCAGGTTTCGCTGCGTCTGGGCGAGACTGAAGAGTAGTTTCATCATAGGGGCACAGCACCTTTTGTGTCGGGTCGTTGGTGGACTTCTTCAGGGCCTCCGAGGTTTTCTTGGCACCTTCTTCTGGCGAGGTCTTCGTCGTCTTGGGGTTCTTCGGGTTGCTGTCTCGGCTTCCAGATCCTCCCTGCGTGCCTGCCTCCAGGAAATCTGGCATGATGTAGACGGGGTAACGACCGAGGGGTGCGAATCACGAACATGCCGCTGCAACTGGATGCTCGAAATAAGAACTACGGAGCATATTGGACATGACCACTCCTCACGTTTACCTGGTTCCCAAGACATGTGAGCACGTCCAAAAGCACATCGACCGTACCCGTAATAATGGTTTCGATGTTTGCGAGCGTTGTGTACATCTCTGAAGTAGCACAAACAGTTAGGGCATTGATTAATAGTGACAACTGTATGTTGGACAGATATCAGAATGTGCCCATTAGTCTGGTGGCCCATGCAGGCCCTGCAGGTGTCGAATGTTAATCCGCATGGGGTCCCGCCAGAGGCCTCGATAGCACACGTATAGGTAGCTGTACTCTCTTCTTCTCGGGAATGTAGACCAGGAGACAACATAGCCCACTTAATATAATCCACCAACGCAGCTGCCCTTAGTATAGTTGGGTCTATCTTCAGGAACTCCTGGGAGGCCTCGCAATTGGGGTCGAAGAGGTCAGCCCAAGGGTACCCACGTTCCTCCTATATTTCAAGGAAGCTCTCGGCCCTGCTGGTTCCATTGTAGAGCTTCACATGTTCGTCGAACATGCGTGCCCACGGATACGCCATGCTGCTGAGCTGCCCACGTGACTGTCCAGTGGGCCCCTCGTCATCGAGGTGACTGAAGATCGCTACAATGGTCTGGCTGCGGGGGGAGGAGGGGAGGAGGAGGAGAAGGAGGAGGAGGAGGAGGAGGAGGAGGAGGGGGAGGAAGAGGAGACGGGGGAGGAGGAGGAGAAGCAGGAGGAGGAGGAAATGGGCTACAGCGACAAGATTTGCCGACCCCCGTCGATAGACATACACAAAACGTGCCCGCTCAAATCGGACGACCAGATCACAAAGGAAAGGGGACTACTGATCGAGCCACAGTACATACAAAGCTCTGAACAGTACACCGACGGAGGTACTGACGACCTGCTACCACTACCCAATACCCGCAGCACAACACAACGACGAAACCTACTGCGTACATCCACACCCACTAACCACGACCCCGACATTGCACACACACTACGTGCACAGGTCGAGGTAGACAAACAGGACCTGACCACCGACGGCAGCATCGACAAGTACTACGTCTACTTCTCCCTACACCTGGGCAATGAATACAGACCAGTGCCCACCAAAAAGGCTGGGCGAAGGCTAGGAGGAAGACGCACAGCACGGTAGCATATCTACCTGGCCCCAACAAGGACTACTTCATATTTTTGGAGAGGCTACACAGCCCTCTCAACGGATGGAAATAGTACGGCTCCCACACGAACGTCGAGACACACTGGTCACAACGGCCCGCGCAGATACCATTCTACAGAAAAACCGACTACCGACCAGA